TTTCTTTGCACAAACTTTTACTTCTATGCATAGCATCTCTCAATGTCGTATCTGGTCAGACGCCTTGTCCTTCATCTATGCTCAGAGGCAACGAGTTCACCCGCAGAAGCGTTGTTGGAGTCGGTGTCAACTTTTCATGACGGGCTTACGCTGTGCTCGCTCTCACCATTACAGCGCCACGCAGAGCAGGTAGCCGGTGAGCCCTAGCCGCCACTGCTACTAAGCAGTTCAGCTATCATCCTGCTTATGCGATGCATTATTCTTTGTTCAATTGGCTCTGCAGCGTACAGCAAGCGGCAGCTTTACAGCCCGACCTACGAAATGCTGCTGAGTTTGTGGTCGCTCTGTTTATGCTAAGTTGGTTCATAGTGTACTCTGCTGTGTTGGACCACTTTGTAGTCTTACACAATACAAGAAATTGTATCACATGCATGTAATTCAACCTACGTTTCGAGTCGATACACAGGGCGTTATACCTGCCGAGCATAATTTAAGCGGGACCTGCGATCCATCATCGAGTATTCACACCTCGCTTGATCCCTGTTTTGGTGCGTCTCCCTTGATTTAGTGTACGTTAGGTAAACGGATGAGTACGTAGGATGACAGAGCTGGTGCGCTGTGATGACGTGGTCGCTGAGTAGACAGTTAACTGCCGGAGGAAGTGACAGGTTAAACGAAGAATTGTTATGGCAAGGAGGAATCAGTGGCCACTGGAAACCGGGAAGTGCGTAAGGACTGAACGGTAGGTGAGGGTGTGCAAGTCGCTTGGCTCTCCATCGTTCCTAGAAGTGTCGATGTAGAAGGTGTGACACGACCTGTGCGTACCCTGCTACCCTTTGAATAAGCCGTACTGACTGACTTCATGTCACACTATTTACAGGCTTCAATTCTTCCTTCATCAACGAAGTTTGGTCTATTGCGGCAGAGATGACGCCTAAACCGCCTCCCGAGATTGGACGGAATGTGCGTAGTGAATCCGTGTTTGATCATATTTTCGAAGGGTGAATGGATTTTCGTTTGCGGTTCATAAG